CCCCAAAACCCCAAAACCCCAAAACCCCAAAACCCCTCTTTAGTTAAAATACATTGAATAGCAATATCAAATTTGAGATACCCAAAAATAAGAGCGAGTGTAGTTCTATAAATTTTAGATTATGTAAAGTCAAAGGGATCAATATCTTAGACTATATTTCAGTTACTCCTTCTAAGAAGGGGTGCTCCAGGAGCTCCCCTGCTTTTGCTCTTTTTGAAGGATCGGGGTCCCATCATTTTTTCAAAAAGTCAGTAATTTCCTTATCTTTAAATTTCTGCCTTACTTTATGATCACTCTTCTCCAAGGGAGTATGATTATTTCCAATCATATACATTGATGAAAATTTGTTCTGTCAAGTATAGTATGGGCGCTTCCCAGAAACCAATTCATAGAGGATGCACCCAACGGCCCAGATATCAATAGGGTATTTATACGGCTCGTTTTTAATAACTTCAGGGGCCATATACCAAGGAGTTCCAGTATTCGTCCTGTGAGTATTACTATTTTTACCCATAACTTCTGTTGCGACTCCAAAATCTGCAATCTTAAATCTTGTTTCAGATTTATCCATAAGAATATTAGCTGGCTTCATATCTCTATGTATGATCCTATTGTCATGCAAGTACTTAAGTCCACTGAGGATCTGGTGTACTATAGATTTAGTAAGGGATAGTTTTAAAGGTTTGCCTTTCCTCTTCATTAATTTAGTATCAAGACTTCCTCCATCACAATATTCCATAAGAATGTTATACTGGACTGCATTGTCACCATCAAGATTTGACTTGTGGATAGTAAAGAACTTGACTACATTCTTGTCACTGAGTTTATTTCACTATCTTCATTTCCTTTTTAATAGCTTCAATGATTTTATTTTTCCTGAACATCATTTTGGACTATCTCAAATTGTTTAAATGCTACTAGCTGGTCAAGTTCAACGATTCGACCGAGGTATACCTTTCCTTCTCCTCCGGATCCTAAGAATTTTAAGATTTCAACTTTAGCAACGGCTAAACCTCCAAGAGTATCTCCTTTCCCAATAGTGCCTTCGAGTTCTTTCTTCCTCACAAACCTTCCTTTCTTTATAGGATTATAAGAGCTTGATTTGTAAGCTTTGGGAGGAACCATCTTTGACTCTTCTTTGGTTGACTTCTTTTTCACAAGTTCCTTCTTTGGAGGGTCTTCTAATTTCAATTCATCCTCTGCTTCTCTCTCAAAATTGTCATCGCTGTCAGAGCTGTTCACTATTCTAGCTTCTTCGATTAAGGCTTCTTGGTCATGGCTGTCTTTATTCAGAGAATCTATTGATGATCATGTTTAAAACTTACCATTATCATTACTTTGCTGGTAGAATTTATAGCTATGGGAAGTCGAGGAATCTAACAAACTTAGATCAGGCTCGCTCTCTAAATTCTTTGGTGAATCCTCCACCTTCTTTTCCTCTTCTAAATTCTTAGGCTTCATTATGTTGATGTTAAGAGTTGATTCTAAGTATTCTTGGATATTCTGGTTGTTTTCCTGTACTTTAGACTCTTCTTTAAAGTTTTGATCAGCCATAGCTGATTTTGCCTTTTTCAAACTCTCCTTTCTAGGGATTGTTGGAGGAGCGTCCTCATCAGGTTCTAATGAATCAACAGAACCTTCAAAGTTGTCTGAAAGGTCATCTTCGTTTATGGATTGTTTTGACTCTTTCTTTGTGTAAGCTGAAAAATCGAGGATTTTATCCTCTGTAGAATGAAATTTAGCCAGCACTTCTTGCTCTGCCTGCTGAGGTTCATCAGCAGTTGTCCTTTTAGGCTTTGGTTCAAACTTATTTTAAATGTTGATATCTTGAGAAAAATTTTATTGCCTTCTCATTGGTTGATGGTCTTGATGAATAACTGCTGTTAGCCTTTTCTCTCTATTCCAAAGCTTAGAACATAATTTATAATAAGAATATTCAAATAAAATTATTGAGAAGGCAAATTCTAAAGGATTAGCTGATGGAATATTCTTATATTAGAGCTATTCTATCCTCTATTTTATGACTTCCAAGAACATAACTCATTTGTTCTCTACTAATTCCTGCTTGTAACAACTAAGCCTAGCAAGGATTCTCTTTGGAATATATAACAGTTCTTACAATTTTTCCATTAGAGACAGGAGTCTGCTCTTTATCTATTGGTTCCATATTTTGTCAATTAAATTATCAATTGGTTATCCAAAATTAGGGGTTTTGGGGTTTTGGGGTTTTGGGGTTTTGGGGTTTTGGGG